TTAATTCAACGCTTCCGTACACAGCCGAACATTTCTTCCGATATTCCTTATACGCTGACTCTCACCCGGTGGCAAATGCCATTCTTTCGCTTTGGGAACAAGTAGATGTGACTCTTGCCTACGATTTCCATACAGTTTTGTCCAAACGTCATTATATTGAAGAATCACAACCTGTGGGGTTATGGCATCATCCCAAGTATGGTATATTCTGTCTTCGAAAGGATGCTGGCTAGAGACGTGAATACTAACAAGGGAAATCTCAATACCCCAGAACTGATAGATAGATAGATAGATAGATAGATAGATAGATAGATAGATAGACATCGAGAAACATAAATAAATACAAAGAAAGAAGGAAAAAAGAAAAAGTACAATTTGAAAGAAACTGAGAAGCCTAGATATATATCCATAAATCAATAGATAGATAGATAGATAGATAGATAGATAGATAGATAGATAGATATCGAGGAACATAAATAAATAGAAAGAAAGAAAGAAAGAAAGAAAGAAAGAAAGAAAGAGTACAATTTGAAAGAAACTGAGATGCCTAGATATATATCCATAAATCAATAGATGGAACAAAACAGACAGAAAGGCAGAGAAGGTGAAAGAGAGCTCGATGAATTGAGAATTAATAATCCGTACATAGATATATAGGGGATCCTCGACTTACGTCGGAGATCCGTTCTTACGCTGCGACGTAACATAATTTTACTCACCTACATAAACACCCATGAGTCTGCCTTAGGGGGCCATAATGAAGGGCAAAAAGTTAAAAAAAAAAAAAAAAAAACGGGAGATAGCAAATGTCGCACAATCCAATATGGCGTACATCCGGTGATGAAACAACGTGGTCTTTCTCATATAGCGCAGCGAGGACGATATATTATATTATGGGAGGTGGCGCCGTAACCCCTAATCGCTGTACGTCAAATCCGACGCAACCCGAGGACCTTCAGTATTGACAGATACAAAGAAAGATTGGGGTCTACTAGATAGATAGATAGATAGATAGATAGATAGATAGATAGATAGGTACTGAGGAACATAAATAAATAAATAGAAAGAAACAAGGAAAGAAAGAAACAAAGAAAAAGACAATTTTTAATCGTACACACACACACACACACACACACATATGGATATAGTCATCCACAGACAGACTCTTTCGCAGTATCGTATGTCCTCAGTGTGGCTAGACGTCCGATTCCTTCAAGTCTGACATCAGTTAGATATCTTACCTCTAGGCCATAAAGGAAGAGAAGAGAATTTTAACGTTTTTCTCTATACGAAATACGCCAGCTGCTCGGAGAACTCAATTCAAATTAATTGAAGAGTAATGTTTAATAGCAGTAAGAGCCGGCGTTTTTTTTTAAACTTTCCCTAGATTTCCGGCAGCATATATATATATATATATATATGTTTGAATAAAAGACAGACCACGTTAAGATTCCATGTAATAAGCTATTTCACCATAACCCCTTTAACAAGGTTCTGGATCATTAGACTTTACTTCCAAAAGCTGAAATGAAAAATGAAAAGAAATTCACAGTTTTTTTACGGACCTCATCAAGTATGCGTAAAGTTAACGAAGTGAGGAAGTGAGGGAGAGAGGATATGAGTGTGTCATATGTATCATTTTAGTTTCCTATTTTAACCCCAGTGTGTCGGCTAGATGTTGCTCAAATTTAATGCATCTCGTCTCTAGATATAGATGGCTAAGGGGTGAATGATAAGAACGACATTAAAGGAAGAAGTTACCACAACCCCAATAAATTACACGACAGGTTTCATTCAAATTCTTAGACGCTGTCAGTTCGCGTTACTTTAACGTGCATATTTATATAATATATATATATATATATATATATATATATATATATATATATATATATGGTACTTAAAAGCCTGCAGATTTACCCAACATAGGATTCTCCCCAAAAATACTTATTTGGCTATTTGGGTAGTATGGGGAAATGGTTCCGGCTGTGGACGTTTCACATCCTCTTTCGTATGAAGTGCAAATGACCAACAAAGTCATACACATGTCTATGTAGTAAGGTATATAATTATATCTATATAAACATTACATTCATGTGTGTGTAAAGATACGCAGAATCATATACTTTATAGTGCTTTATAGGTGTGTATAAACACATACACAAAAATATTCACCTACCTGTATAAGCTCACTTTTTTTGTTTTTATGTCACTATATAAACACGTTCGTCTCTACGATTTGGTCGATTGATTTGTTTTTTACGGCTTATCAACCTTCTGTAGGATATTTAAAAATATTTTTAGATCGTAAGAAATTTTTTGCGCAGTGTGTGTGTGTGGGGGGGGGTAAATTTTAATGACATATAGCCGAAATTAAGCAACGTTAATCTTGGCCAGTGCCTAAATGGGTGACAGTTTGGAAATAGCAAATGCTGTAAGCTTGGATTTGTGGGTGTTGTTATGGATAATCGAAGAGCCGAGTACCAATTCCTCTTCCGTTCGTTATATTTACCTGGGTGCAAATACTCTTAGCAAAGAATCCATCTATTCTCCGCACAACTTACAGCACCTGGTATTCCCAAGTGGTCACCCACCTAGGCACTGACCAGATTCGCCGTTGCCTAACTTCGGTGATCGTACGGAGACCGGTGTTTCTAGGTGAAAGCACAACTTGGTGCATTCACTCCCTTGGGAAAGTTATGAATGTAACGCTTCACCTACCTCTAGTTATGGCTTAATTAGTAAGGATTGTATCACTAAACTATTATTATCGAGAAAAAATTCTTGCAGAATAAAAATATTTTAAATAACATGCAATGGGTTGATAAGCCGTAGAAAATGAAACAATCACAAAACCTTAGACGAATGCATTCATATATTCAGATAAGAACAGAAGAAAATGTGTGCTTATACAGACAGGTGAATATTCATCAAACAATTAAATGATGAATAGAAAACAAGATATCGATTTTTTCTAAATATTACATCAGTTTTAATTATTCCCTAATTACATATTTGCTTCTTTTTTTAACCAATTCACCCAAGCAAGACGATAATGTTACTAAGACGCAATGGCTTACTTCGAGTGAAAGAGAATAAAAAGACTTTAGAAGGAACCAGAAATCTAATCCCTGACAGGAAACAATGGATGGATCTCTACTACTGTTTCAAAAAAATCGGGGAGTAATATGAATAGACGTCCGGTTCAGATGCTTTTTTTGTTTTTGCTTTTTTTTTTTTGAACTGGAGTATAGGTTTATCCCATGTTTACATTATGATAATAAGCAGTAAGAAAAATAATTTCAAACGTAAGCATTATCTCTGTTGCGTTTTCTTTTTTCTAAGAAAAAAAAAACGCTTACCCCACATGTTGCAAACTGCGTATCAATATGAGCTATTATTCTCATGTTAATTTTATGAGCCTATTCTTCCATGCTGGCTCAAGGCATGTTTGCAGAGAGAGTTTGGTTTTCCCGCAGTAGAACCGTTATCGTTCCTACATATCCTCATGAACTGTACGTCTTACCACTTCTTCCGTACATTAATCTCAATCAGTAACCCTAGACCTTCAATGGCTTTTGGTCTCTGTATTTAGTGATCAGTTAGTAAAATAGTATTGGGTTGGTGCATAATTATCAGGCGTTTTTGTAAGCGAGTTATTTGTTAATTACTGTTTTGTTTATTTTTTTAATAAAAATATTCTTTTATTTAAGGTTATAAAAATGCATGTTGATAATCATACGCTCCGGAATAATCATTTAAAAATGTTATTGTTGAAGTGTTATGTAGCTTTTTTCGTTATAAATATTGTTTAAAAACGCCTGATAATTATGCACCAACCCAATAAGCGTGGGAACAACTAATTATTTATGAGTTTTGGAATTTACATTAAAAATGTTACATTGTGGTTTAGTAGAATGGACATTGCAACCGATTCTTCTATCAAGTGCTTGATTTCATTCTATGAGAGCAATTTCAATATGGGGGGAACTTTTTTGAATTTATATTAATTATTTTATAAAATGTTCAAATATCCGTCCTGGGTATGACGATAAACTACATCTGGTAGCAAGGGCTTTGATTGGGAGGCTTTGCGGAACGTGGAAATTACCTCTTAATTGCAATTAATCTCAGGTTCACCCTGATCCAACGTGGTAGCACCTGTTAGTGTCTCCGCTATGGGTAAATAATTAATCCCTAAACTGGGATCAAAACACTATGAAAGTATAAAAAGAATTACATTAAAAATACCAGCAATACATTTTCATAGTAAAAAAATTACCAGCAATAAATTTTTGTAAAAATAAAAAAAAATTACCACCAATATATTTTTGTAAAAATAAAAAAAAATTACCAGCAATATATTTTTGTAAAGAAAATTACTAATGCTACCAAGAAAATTAAATTTCGGCATTACATGACCCATAAGGATTTGATATGCCGCTAAACAATCATGTTCAAATATAAGCCTACAATTATAAACATCCGCTTATTTTCGCTTACATGAAATATAATATGTTTTTAAATGTGATATTTTTCACTATATAGAAATACCAGTAGGATCCTCGAGAATAACTGCAAACATCAGGATGTACCTTAGGCTACTGCTTACAGCAAATGTGTTAATGTATTTTAAATGGTGGATCTATAATGATCAAATGAGTAATATTAGATTCACACAGTAGAAAATGCGACAAGCCGTGAAATACCTATGGACTAAAATGTATACATGGAGAGTTTTAAATATTTTGCTATGACAAATATAATCGTAACGAACAAGGAAATAATCACTGTTTTAAAAGTGAAAATTTCCTTTTCCCAGTTGTCCTTCACTTCACAGCCCAGCACAAAGCATTCATATTATTTTTCTATTTGCCGTCTCCTGTCAGGGCTTTGGAGATAATTGCTCACCACAATTTCCTCTTCTTTATAGCGCTTAATAAATTTGATCTTTTCGCTATCTCTCCTAATCCATGTCCCGCTAACTATTTACACGAGCTTGTTAGGTAGGTTATGACGTTTTCCTCTGTTCCTTTATCCTTCAATTTGTTCAGTGAGTGTCAAATTTTCTAAGCCCTCATTCCTCATTATGTCCCCTAGAAATTTCAAATGTCTTTCTGCTGCTAAGCATAAGTGTCCTTTTTTTTTATTATCCTTTCCTTACAACTTTCTCGTAGCTCGCATGCTCAACACAAAACATTATTCTTTATAAATGTGTAATACTTAGAAGCATTTTATAGATGTGTATGATTAATAAAAATGACATTAACAAATATTTTCAGTTTGTCTTTGCTGCATCTTTTCGAACGTAAATTCACTTCATCTACGGCGTGGCAAACCTGCTATTTTCGATAACTGTTCTCTCCTTGAACATTAATTAGCTTGCAGTGGACCGATATTCAGTCGGCCTTGCCCAAAGATATTCCCGAAATAAGATGAATAATCTTTCAGTTGAAAGCAATGTAACGTTATCACTAGCGAAGGAAATTTGAGCAAAGTTAATATAAAACCAGATCAACCATAAGATCCGAAAAGTTAATATCGACAACGAATGTATCCGAATAGAAAGACAATTAGATAGTGAGCAGAAGACAATCGTTTTCTTCTTCCTGGACAACAATTAAAAATATCTAAACCATTTTGGAGGCTCCAACCTATCGAAAATGTTCTTATAAATACAGTGTAACCCGGATACAAGAAATTTGTCGGGACCGGAGAAGAAGTCTCTTATATTCGGGTTTCTCTTATATCCGGGTTTGGTCTATTTTATATACATTAACACAGGCTCTAATTTGGGACCAGAGAACATCTCTCTTATATCCGGGTTTCTCTTATATCCGGGTCTCTTATATCCGGGTTACACTGTAACTAAAGAGAACGAACTCAAATGAGAGAAATTATTTTTTTTAAACTGTAGCTTTTATTTTCGTTTTTTATTCATAATTCATTCTGTCTTTATAGTTGGCGATTTTAGTTCATACTAGAGATTTTCAAAGGGTTTCAAGTTTTGCCCTAAAATTGTTTATAGTTTAAAATTTGGTTATATTCAATCTAAAATATTCATGAGTAATGCTATATCTTCCCCTTGTCTAATGGCGGCAAATTAATAATTAAACCTAACTGTTGGATTGGTCGTTCATTATTTTTCCTTTTTATTCTCAAAATGGAAACGGTCTTTCCCACCTCAAATGCAGACAAGCGCCATCAGAAGTATTATGGATTGATTTTAAGATCTAGGATATATCCTGAGTTTTTAACAAAGTCATTTCTTCCAATAGATAGTATTTTAAATGTTAACTAATTATTTGCCAGTTTTTTTTCTAATCAAAACACCTATAACGTCCGTATCACTGACACATGCTTTCTGGTCACACAAACTGCAACATAGTTATGTTTTAAACATCAACTTCTTTTGAGTCACATTTTCTTTCAATATATTTTTCTCCACTACTCTAAAAGTTATACTACAGTCTACCTTTTGAGCCCTTCGTTCCTGAACAATTTTAACCCTTCTGCCTGAGTCAAAATTTGCAAATAATTGGTATGTAATGTTTCACGGTAGACATAAAAATAGTTACAAGTATTTACCCACCATTCAAACGGTAGCTGGGCATTGAGTCATTTTTCTCTACCACTGTTCAACCGGTGGCTGGGCATTACGGCATTTTTCTCTACCACCGGTAAAGCGGTAGTCAGGGCTCAAAAGGTTAATATCTGAAATCAGGAGAGATTTCAGAGTTACAGACGGAGTAATAAAATAATTTTGTTTTAACGCTGCCAAAAATTTAAATGGTATCTCTCAAATTGAGTCTGTTTTTTTCCTCTCCTATTGAACAGTATTTTCTACTTTGACCAGAGACAAATTCAAGGACTCTGTCACTTTTCTAGTTGCTATTCATTACATCTAACCTTTCAATAACAATGAATCTGACTTTTATGACCTGTCCTTTTCATATCTGCTTACCTCGGAGTTCTTGACAAGATCCAGAGACGGATATGTAATTTAATTGGCCCTGATCTAGCGTCTTGTCTGCAGTCACTCTCTCACAGACGCGCCGTCGCCTCTCTCTCTGTCTTTTTCTACAAATACTTCCATGGTAACTGCTCTGATGAAGACTCCATGAATTCAAGCGCCCTATGAGCCTGGCATCCCGCTCCCACCCCTTACACCGTAGAAACCTTCAAATGTAGCCGTCTCTTAACTCCAATAGCTTCATACCTCGCACCTCTCGCCAGTGGAACACCCTCCCCTCTCTTTTCCTGAGCTATAATAATAATAACAATGAATCTCCATGACCTGTCCTTTTCACATCTGCTTACCTCGGAGTTCTTGACAAGATCCAGAGACGGATATGTAATTTAATTGGCCCTGATCTAGCGTCTTGTCTGCAGTCACCCTCACAGACGCGCTGTCCTCTCTGTCTTTTCTACAAATACTTCCATAAACTGCTCTGATGAGCTCTCTCTGGGACTCCATGAATTCAAGCGCCCTACGAGCCTGGCATCCCGCTCCCACCCTTACACCGTAGAAACCTTCAAATGTAGCCGTCTCTTCTACTCCAATAGCTTCATACCTCGCACCTCTCGCCAGTGGAACACCCTCCCCAATTACTGTTTTCCTGAGAGCTATAATAATAATAACAATGAATCTGACTTTTATGACCTGTCCTTTTCACATCTGCTTACCTCGGAGTTCTTGACAAGATCCAGAGACGGATATGTAATTTAATTGGCCCTGATCTAGCGTCTTGTCTGCAGTCACTCTCTCACAGACGCGCCGTCGCCTCTCTCTGTCTTTTCTACAAATACTTCCATGGTAACTGCTCTGATGAGCTGCTCTCTGGTTCCCAGACTCCATGAATTCAAGCGCCCCGAGGCTACATGAACCTTCAAAGCGCCCTACGAGCCTGGCAGAGCTAATAATAATAACCCTTTTATGACCTGTCCTTTTCACATCCTTACACCGATCCAGAGACGGAAACCTTCAAATGTCTTTTAGCCGTAACTTCTGATGAGCTGCTCTCTGGTTCCCAGACCATGAATTCAAGCGCCCTACGAGGCTGGCATCCCGCTCCCCCTCGCACCTTTCGCCACCTCGCACCTTTCGCCAGTGGAACACCCTCCCCAATTACTGTTTTCCTGAGAGCTATAATCTCCAACTATTCAAATGTAATGTCAATCGATATCTCCGGTTGCCTTGATCTACCCACTATCCTTCTCCTCTTCCTTTCTCTTATCACTTTTATCTGCTCTTGCTCCAAATCTTCCGCAACCCCCTGCATCCTAGTGGCTTCACGCCTTGCTTGGGGCACAATGCTTAAAAAAACAAAACAAAAAAAACAGAAAAAGTTTTATCAAAGGCAGCTGACAGTACTAAATATACCTAATTGCAACTCAGTGCATGAGAGAAGTGGAATAAGTAGTCATATTTGTTTCTGAAGCATAAAAAAAAATTTTCTTGAACAGTTTTACGCGCTGAAATCTTAAAGGCTTAGATACAGAAATATCAAATGTCATCTTTTTTTAATTAAGCTAGTGTTGGGCTTATAACCTGCTATAAAATATTGAATTTAAAATGAATTACACAAATAATAGAACAATATTTTTATTTGAATAGTAAAGTAAATATTTCATTTGTTCTTAAACCAAAGAATGCGAATATGTCCAAAGTTTTAGTAGTAGTATGACTGACATTGACTCACAGTGACAAGTCTCGTAAATCATTAGAGTCATGTACTGCAGACGCGGTAGAAGTGGTGTATCTTGGGCAAGATAGCCTGACGGAGCCCAATCTTCTCCAAGCTGGTTTGAATTCAGAGTTTCTTCTATATCGGTTGCCACACAAGGCTATAGAGCCCAGTCTGTCTTGCTATTTACCGATAGCTGGGTGGGAGAGAAGAGATGGATTTATTTCTTCTTCTTCTTCTTCTTCTTCTTCTTCTTCTTCTTCTTCTTCTTCTTCTTTTTTGCAGAAAATCCATATTCAGTTTAAATACAAGTGCCATTATTTAATCAAATTTGACCCATTGTTAATCTTTTATCTGGCTAGTCAGCATCAGTGGCAAATGGTTTATACGCCTGATAAAAACAAAAACTATGATGAAATTTCAGTTCTTCATTTACACTGGTGATCATCAGTCTCCACAACTTCCTGGATTTTCTGTTTGAATTCATGGAATCGAGTTATCATTATTTAAATCGTTATTATCACAACCATTTAACCGTTGTGTATTTTGGCCTTCTTCAAGTGTCTGTCGATCGGGTAAAAGTCATGGAATATTTAATGGAATTATTTAATATACGGAGGTAGATTGTTCTCGGTCTTAATTCTATGTGAAACTGTGGGCCCTCTAAAAATGCTTAGTGGTTAATATATTCCTTTTTTACTAGTTAGTTTATGCTTAGAGGGAACAAAGCAATTCAAGGTTAATTTTATTTTAATAATTTGTAAATATTAACCCAATTTTCTACCCAAATATCATCTAACAAGCTTGAGCTTCAAAACATGTCACTTAATACAAAGTTCTACGGATTTAAGAAAGAATCATGAAGAATATATTTTGAAGAGCACTGTATTTTCCTTTATTTTAATTAGGAACAAAATCCATGGAATAGCATTGAATTGCAGGTTATCACTATATAAATATATTTTCAGTTTTCTTTGAATTTCCAGTTCTTACGAATAAAATTCACTTCTTGAATACGACTTTGTATTCTTTGTGAAACAGCTTCTTCCCACAAATTTTCTCCAACAAATCATACAGGTTTTTCTTTATTATCGGCGAATTTTAGCTAAACCGGGACATTCTAAAAGAATTCTCTTGCTTAAAATATAACTCTAATGTGAATTAGAAATTTCCATTATCATTTCATGTTTAAAATATGCTTCGTTTTTTTTAAATTAATCAGAGCTTTGTCATGTTTATAAGCTTCACGTTAATAAAAAAGACAGTTTGTTCAAATATTAACAATAACAGATTTTTTCCTTTTAATGAGCATATTTTAAAATCAAACATGATAACTTCTCATTTTAGTTTAAAACAATGAATATAATCCTTTCTCAAGTCCGATCGATAAGGAATCTGCTTGATCAGCAAAAAGGCAAACAACACGCTCCTTTCTTTTAGTCTACGAATGAACATAACACCAAGTGTTTTTTATTACGTTTTCCTGGTCTGTTCTTCATAAAAATACAGTGTGAGGGAATTATAATGGTAATTTTAATAGAAGCTGCTTCCTTATTAAGAAATATTTGACATTCATTGACATTCATTGATAGAACAGGCAGTGCTACTGTCGCTAAGTATATATATAAAAAAAATTCTCTTAAAATATATTTTCAAAGAAATGTGTTTTTCAAGTCCAGTAGCTGTTATCTCTCTTTCCAGTATTCTTTCTTTTTATATGCCATGTCCTTTCAGGACGTAGGCGATCATGGCTCTCCACCTCCCTCTATCACTTGCAGCTCTCGACAAGTTCCTTCCCTCTGCTTCCTCCCCATAGACCACGTTCTGTCATCCACATGCTTAGGTTCGCCAGGTATGCCACGTGTTGTTTTGCCTTATCTCTCTTTCCCTCTATATGACCCGTGAGTATCAGATTCTCCAGACCCTCCTTCCACATTATGTCTACCAGAAACTTCAGCTGCCTCTTCCTGATACTAAGTATGTCTCCTCTTTGTTTGTCTTACCAAAACCTATAGATTTCACTCGCTCAAAGCTATTTTTAAACATTGATCTGAGAAACTGGTTGTATATAACAGTTTATATATTTCTGAACGAGTTTAGCGCCATGCATGACATCCATATGAAAGTCTCAATCTGATGAGTCTATTTAAGAACATGACAAGTTTTCAAGTTAATGAGGAGCCTGGTTGTTCAGAACCTGGTATATGTTCTTTACCATGGTTTCAAGATTGACTAATGACCCATTCTGAGTAGCAATAGGGATATTAAGTTCTTTAGCGATTCTTCGCCGACGGAGATATCTTCTGCGACATAACAAGCTTGACAATTCTACTGACCTTCTTTCTCTTGACATTGTAATGCAGAATAAGCCCATCAATTTTGAAAAGGTACAATAAAGCGAATCGCAGGTCTCACCTTCAACTGATGAACATTCATCTGCTAGTAATATTCTGACCTGGAAATTGAGTCAAAAGCTTATTCCGCCATGATCCTGCGCAGGACGAATACTACACTAACGTTTTTAACCACTAAACTATCGGAATGGTGGGATATTTTGATTCTTTTACCCCATAAGTAAACAGGAAAAAGACCTGAAATTTTCAGTAAGCACAATGTCCGAAACCTTGTACTAAAAACAATCAAGATGAAGATAGTTCGAATGATGACTCTTTAGAGAGATCTCGAAATCTGAACTGCTCGTGAAAAAGGAGGCTTACGACAGTTGTTCGAATTATGACTTTTTAGAGAGATCTCGAAATCTGAACTCCTCGTGAAAAAGGAGGCTTACGACAGTTGTTCGAGTTATGACATTTTAGAGAGATCTCGAAATCTAAACTCCTCGTGAAAAAGGGGGCATATGATAATATCATGCTGAAAAACCGGTTCCCGTAGGAGCACCGAAGTTAAGCAATGTCGAGTCTGGTTAGTAACTAGTTGGGTGACCGCTTGGGAATACCATGTGTTTTAAGCTTGCATATGCAGGTGGTGTAATGGATAACGGCTCAAAATTGGAAATCGAAGAGCCGTGTTCTAATTTCAGTCCGGTTCGTTATATTCTCTACCGCGCAAATACCCTTGAAAATTTTTTGAATGCACCTATTCTCCCCTCAGCTGTCGTTTAATTAGTAGGATTTGTATCAGCAGATTATCCAGTTAGTTATGTGCCATGCGGGATCCACGATGATAGGCGATCATGTATCTTTCGATACATGACTGACGAGGCAGATATTCTCCCCGAAGTTTGTTGCTATATCTTTCTGCAGTGGATCAGTTCCCATCCAAGGCTATAGAACCCGGTCTGTCCTGCTATTTACCCATAGCTGGGGGGGGGGAGAAAAAGAAGATTCATACCTTTCGAAAGGGTATTAGCATGTAAGTGAATGTAATGGATTCTACTCCGATTCCTCAATCCGAGTAAATCCATTACTCCACCGTGCAGATTATTAATATCACTAAAAAGAGATTTAAAATCTAAAATTATTTTCTGGCTATTATTCGATGAAGCATTAGCATTTGCGCAGAATATGATACATGATTTCTTCCTTGATTTCAGAACTGGGTGATGACTAGATTCAATGTAGCAAAAGGTTGATAAACCGTAAAAGAACGTATCAATCAATGAATCGTGAAAAAGGAAACCATTATCCAAATTTCAATGTTTGCTAACGGTATCGCCAAGAGAACTTTCTCTGTTATTTTTTTAAGATTTTTCAGCAAACATAAAAAAAAAACATTATTTGATTTGCAAAATATGCATCCAAGCGATTCACCAGCCATAAAGATTTCATAACGATCCTTAGACGAGAAAAAAAAAAGAAACAGAAGGACGCTAGGCTATTGAATATCACCTAAAGCGAAAATATTTTCCAAGTTGGATCACGTGATAATTTGGTAACGCATCGTCGAATAATAATAGAATATAGTAAGCTTTCAGCACCAATATATACGAAATAAAAAGAAAGACAAATTACCGTTGTTTGGATTAAGAAATTACAAATGGCTTGTTCCCCGTAATTGTATTCATTTCCCGTGCAAATAATGGCAAGAAATATCAGATGGAATTTATTTATGGGAGAAACGGTTCACTTCGTAATGATCTTTAAATTTCCGGCTAGAAAGGGGGTAGATATTTTGAAGGATATTCTCAGTCGTAGACATTGATATTTCTCTGATTCTACGCATAATTACTTTCTCTCTTCTCTGTCAGCGCCCTGGGTATGACGATAAACTACATCTGGAAATAGCAATGTCAATCGTGATCTACAGATGAACTGATTCCCTGTAACCATAATTCTATGCTATCAGTTTCTACTCACTTGAGGAATTCTCTTCCGCTTTCTTATATTCCAGTCAACATGAATCTTCAGGAATTTAAATACAATGCCAGTCGTGATCTACCGTCTTCTTGATTCCTCTTATTTTATTGTTCTCGCTCATTAATAATATTATTCATTTTTATATATTCTTTCACACTCAGTAACTTCTAATCTTAGTGGCTTTACTGCCTGGCTTTGGGGGATAGTGATTTTCCAAGCGTAGCTCAGATGTGGCACAAGGCCGAAAGTATGCGGAACCCAGTGAGGATCGAACTCACTGCTCGTAATTGTTCTAGCGAGACAAGCTTGCTAACCATTACACCACCCCGAGGTGTCCGAAATGATTTTCTAAGCGTAGCTTAGACGTAGCACAAGGTGCACTAAGTGAGGATTGAACTCACTATTCAGTTGTAACTGTTTGCTAACCATTACACCACCCCGAGGTGCCCCCCCTTGCTTTGGGGCATACGATTAAAAAAAAGAGTTCAAAGTTTTCACTATTTGAACAACAGGGGAATCATCGAAGCGTCTTTCTAGGGACTTTGGTAACTCGGATCTTTTTTGCTTGTGAGCGTGTTGCTCTAATACTTATTTGTAGAGAATTGATCAGTTTGCATTATTTTGGTGAAAATCATAGCTGGATAGAAAAATGCTTTTTCGGTGGAGTTTATTCTTAGTTTGCTACTGTGTGGAAAACAGATCGGAAACTCAGTAACAGATTAATGAAGTTTATGTAAATAATACAAGCCCGTGGCAGAGATGATTTGCGATGTTCAACATAATAGTTTTTGATATGACTGACAAATAACCCACCGAAAACATAAACAGAATTTAAAAACTGGTCATTTAGGCGAAAATAAGAAGAAAAAAATGCAGCAGAAATTTCACGTCTACGCCCCGAAAATTCAGAGTTGAATAAAGTGATTAACTTTTCGCCATTTAAAAGTTTTGTAAAAATACTGTATATCAGAAAAAGTTTTGCATAAATTTACAGAAAGGAAAATGAATTAGCATTTAAGCACTAGCCAAAAAAAATCTCTTGCTATGAAAATTGATTTATTATAGGAAAACAGCACAAACAAAATTTCTGAATTTTAATCTAATCTTAGTATTTTGTTTAGTTTTTTTTATACCAATTTAAGTTCGGATTTCGGTGTCACAATTTCCATATATGAAAAGATTTGTACTTGCTTTGTGTAGACATCACGAAATCGTACTATTATATATTCTGCCTACTTACAAAGGATTAACAGTTCTTTCCTTTAGCTTTCCTTTACTACCTGCAGTTTTTTGTTTTAACTCTGTAATTAGTAGAAACACTTATACCCATACGTTAAGCACTGGTTGCCTGCCAAAGCATGATAGCTGAAATCTCAGGTTATTGTTAGTGAATCTATCACTGTGTCACTTAAATGCAATTAAGTACAGTAAAAAAGAACGCGCTTCCCACCCTAAAAAAAAAAATTCCAAAATTAGGGGGTTGACTTAAATGGGGGGTATAAAATGCATACCTTTACCACGGAGTTCTGAATTCAAAACCGTATGTAGGCCTTTCAATGCACATTATATGCAGCTAAGGAAAGAATCATTCGCATTGACTCGATGATCCGAACTATGGTTGACTCTTTGTAAACAAGTGGTTCAGCCCACCTAACACTTATCGTACCTCTAGCAGGCTGTCACTAATATAGCCTACTAAATCTTGTGCTTTGTAAACATATCTGGTATATTAACATAGAAATTAATATAATAATAAAATAGTAACAAATTCAGTATTCAGTAGGTTGGTAGCATAAAGTTGTTTGTTTACATCATTGGTGCAAATGGCGGATGAGTGATGCTGTGTTTTACAATAACATACGGTACGTATTAGTAATAGCAAAAAATACTTGGTATGATGTGTAATCCACGGTATTAGTATTTTATGGGAGTTTATGTTGACTTTAATATACTTATCAGTAGACCTGAGGCATTTAAATGTCCGCTAAGTTATACCAATACAATATATGATACCTACCGGTGTCTGTTGTAGGTTGTTTGCTATACACTGGATCTAACTAACGCCTTTATCCACTGTGCCATGTGTCTTTGATAGACAGATGCTGATCAAATATTATATCAAATAAAATCATTTATGAACTGCGTGTTTAGTTACAGACTTACTGATTCGCCCTTGTAGTTATTATGCTTATAAGGTGAACGAATGTTTTTATCAGGGTTGATATGTTAGTAGCGGTGTGAAATTTCCTATGTATTATCAAAACGGATAGAATAATAAGTCTTATCAGAGGTTAACGCTGTTGCAGTTGCAAACGTAATGTCCAACCTATTGATTTCCTTCTTTTCAAAGCTTACACTAAAAAAAAATAGTTTTCAAAATCTTCGATCCGTATAAACGCACATCAACGCCTGAACGCATCGCTACGTCCTCATCTACATCAAATGTATCCACAATAACACACTGATAAATAAATTTAATTCCTAATAGAAAGGAAATTATGAAGCCATTGTTATACAAATATCAAGGTTATATGCGACTTCGTTTAGAATCGATACTGGTCGAAGATACTGGTATCGAGGAACACACAGTTGAAGAATATGACGCAGTTCTTAATCTGTCTCTCTTCTGCTAATTGGGAGATGCTCATTCAGCTAGCCAATCATACAGACGGATAGCTAATCCGAGTTCTTTTAATACGAGATGTCTTACTATTATGCTACACAGTTGGATCTCTTTTGTGTGCCATGTCTCTCCACACCTCCCTGCCTCTTAAACCGTTATTATCCATTTGGCTTTGTGATCCTTATTATACCGTGCATATACTATATAAACTTATTATACCATGTATATAAACTTATTATACCATGTATATAAACTTATTATACCATGTATATAATATAAAAGGTGTTCCAATAACCTGGACCGATTTTAAATGTGAATTAAGTTTAAGCGTCTAACGATTTTTCTTTTTCTTTCAGATTTGAGGAAAATTGGGCGATACTATTTTTTACACATAATTGCCATGGCTTAAATAACATGATCCAATAGAGAAGTAAATAAATTTTCACTAATAGCACTTATTTATTTATTGTTGACTTTGATCCGTCTTAATGAAACACCGTTATATATAATCCGTCTTAATGAAACACCCTTCATATACTTATTATTCTATATTTTGATTCAAGTCGAATACTTATTATTTCTCCCTATCTATCTTATTTTTAACTTCAACCCATCTTTCTTATGGATACCAGTTGTTTCTTTCTTATTGTTAGAGATTACTTTGTAGTTCTTATTATTCGAAAATGTTTCTCAATTCTTACAAGTTTTATCTAAGGTATTCTCAATATTCCTTAGTAGAAAAGCCTCTTTCTCGTTTCAGGATCAGAAAGTACTGCAATGGATAGTGGTTCTGATTCATTACATTCATTTACATACAAATTGGTTAATAGTTGAACTTCCAGCTGGTAAAATATTCAAATTTTAATGCCTTATACACTCGCAAAAACAGGAACTATTCTTCCAATCAAAAATAAAGATTTGATCAGCAATAAAAAAAAAAAACACAAATCAATCGAAACTTTATGATTTCACCAAAGCAAACACTTACACTCGCATTCGAATATAGACTTATATACTTATAAGTT